CTCCAACCAAAATTGTAAACTATCTTCGATCAAGCAATTGACTTCTGTGAACAGTAGCTAATTAGTGTGTTAACAATATAAACATTATCAGTCATCAGTTTATCAGATGTATATATACTACTTACTTGTAAAAAAAGGTAAATTATAAAGAATCGAATTTTCAATCAACTGTACAATTTGCATTATTTATATATATTAACTTTCTTTAATGTAACGTAAGAGCATTATAGAAGAAGTTATAATAAAAAATAAATGGGTGCGTGTAACCTTAACGGGCAGTTGAAGTAAAACTTTTTTGCAAATATCGCAATTAAATTAGAACAAATCAATAATTAAAACTAAATAAGGAATATTACAATAATATATTTATAGAATATCATATACGGAAAGAATATACATAGATAAAGCCGAATCTGTACATTAAATATTTTTTGGAAAATCTTATTTACATAGACATTATTATCGATACAGAGTCCGAATTTATAATTTTTAGAATTTTTGTCTGCCTGTGTGTCTGTCTGTCCGTTACCGCATTACGAGAAAACCACTGGACAGATTTTAATGAAATTTGGTATGATGATAGCTGGATATCCGGGTCAACGTATAGGATACTTTTTACCGCGGGAAAATATCTCATTTCTGAGAAAAAATACAAAAACTGCAATGTATTTTGTATGGTAATAGCTGGTTATCCGGGTCAACTAATATACTAATACGAGTATACTAATATGTAAAACTTAAGATTTTTTTAGCGCGGGCGGTGCCGCGGGCAATGCTAGTATTATTATGAAAATCTATTGCTTAGGCGCGTAATAAATTTAGAGAACTAGATACCACATCGAGGCATCAGTTTGTTTACATGAATAATAGAAGAAATAAATTTAATAAATACATTTATTGGGAAATTGACACACAGCACCATCTAGATTCATGTTAAGCTTTGAGGCCTGTGTTATGGATACCAGATGGTTTATACACTACACATATATAACTTTAAATACATAAATATTATAAATATAAACACCCATGCTTGGAGTACAAATATTCGTGATCATGACACAAATGAATACCTCAGCGGGACTCGAACCCGCAACCGCGGGCACAGTAAGTAGGATCACTACAATCTGAGCCAAACGTGTCGTCAATTTAATTATCATGTTTCTAAATTAAACCACGGACTTGTAACTTTATTAAGTTTTTCAGTTCCCACGAAAGCGATGTGACTAATATAACTTATACGATTTAAAAAATATATATTAAATCAGTATCGTTACTATGTTGTGATACGTATCTATAAATATGCGAGTATATTTTAAGCAAAATTCTGAAACTTCCTGATTCATAGGTAAAAGGCAGACGGTTAATAATAGACGATGTGAAATATTAATTTCCCTCGTTCGATTCAATCGTGATTGAATGTATATATAGGTATATAACCCGCGGCTTCGCTAGCGCTAAAACTACAAAAAATCTCTAAAAACGTAGTTTCTTACAATCTTTCATCCTCTATTTTACCTCCTTATAGGATGGTTTTCAAAAAATGCTAAAACACATATTTTATTTTATTTTATTGAAGAGCATTAATACCAAGTAATTTTTTTCAAGTAATTTTGATCATAAATATTTTTTTGGATTGTATTATGAAGCGTTTTTCCGTGAGAATTAGGTAATCTCCCGTGGTAAAAAATAGCTTATGTCACTCTACAGCCCTCCAACTACCTTCACACAAAAAGTCACGCCAAAACGTCACTCCGCCACACGTCGTAAAATATATGTACATACATTTTTAAATATTTTTAAATAAAACTATCTTTTCGGATTATTTCGCGGATTTATTTTGATTTTTGGTTCCCGACGTTTCGAATGCTTTACAGCATCCATGGTCACGGGAGAGACTGAGGTGTTACATGTCTTGAAGGTACAGTTGTTACAGACAGCCTCTCCCGTGACCATTGTTACAGATGGTCTCTCCCGTGACCATGGATGCTGTAAAGCATTCAAAACGTCGGGAACCAAAAATCAAAATAAATCCGCGAAATAATCGGAAAAGATAGTTTTATTTAAAAATGTCAAACATTCGCGTAAATCTAAGAAAGTATTATATGTACATACATACATTCATTCATACATACATACATACCTACATACACTCGCAAAACATAACCCTCCTTCTGCCGCAGTAGGGTAAAAATAACTGATCGGGGGTTTTCATTTACTGTAAATACTTAATCAGATATTTTCTACTATAAGATTGGAACTATTCACTATAATAATACTTCAGATCTTGTCATTTTCACCTATTAGACATTCACATATATTTTTTTAATTCTTCTTTATTAATAAACAATTGTCATACTCAAATGTAGATAATACAAGAAAAAAAACACTAAAATGCAATGCAAAATACACGAAAAGTCGAGAGAGAATGTGCTCGAACAAGTTATAATGTCAGCAGTATCATTTTATACAAAATTCATTCAAAGCTACAGAAATCAACTATTAAAATAACTTTATAACAAATGCAAACAATTTTAACGCGTCGTACGTACACGTACTGTGTTAGGAAAAGTATTTACTAAAACAAAATAATAGTGTTTATAACTACTATTCGACGCAATATGAGTAATCTTATTAACGAAACAAAAGGTTCACATTCTGGTCTGGCATAAATGAAAATGTTAACTTGCAACTTTCGATTTAGCTTCCGTTATTTTAAAAAATAGTGGTTGGCCATTATGCTCAGTTAGCTTAACATTTTTGTAACGTTTAATTAAAATATTTGGAAGCATTTTCTAAAAAACTATTTTTGATTCTATTTCAGGAAAACATTGCATAAGATCCTCTAGCCCAAGAGATCGCGTACAACTTTCATTCATTCATTTACTACAAACAAGGTTTTACTCGACCAAGTCTCGGTAACCAGTGGTACTATATTTTACTCTTAAGCTAGTTAAGTATTTTAATTGTGGAGTCCACGGAATCTATATTTATCTCAAGTGTAGTGTGTGTTAAGTAGCACATACATATATTTTAAAAGTAATTATATAAGAGTCCCTACAAGTTGTACCTCACTTCAAGCTAAGGCCGTCTAGACGTTCATTTGCATACACATGTTAAGAAGTTTAACGATTATTATAAGATGTAACATAATAATGAATAAGTAGGAAAATAAAAGAAACTCTCATAAGGTTACAAAGGCAGTTAAGTAGCAAGCGTAGGATCAAGCAGAGAAAGTTCAAGATGTATCTTTTGTTATTGTGCAGTTAACACATGGTAGAAGAGAACCTACGAGAGAATGAGATGAATATAGAGTATCAGAAGTATAAATATAAGGTTTACACACATACGTACATACATATTATTCACTTAAAAATGCCTCGTATTATGGGTATTCATCACGTCACATTTCTTTACATTAAGTTTAACTATTTTTATGGAAAACTCTTTAGGAAACAAAAATAAATAGTGTGTTTACTGTTTTATTTTCACACTGAGCTGTGTTAAATAGCTATAAACCCATTGAAAACTCATAACAGTAAGAAATAGACAGTTTTACGAGGACTTAGCGAAAGCTCACGATTGAACATCTACAGAGTACATATTGTCTATGGGCGATTTTAGTGCTCAAATTCGGATTCCCGAGAAATACGAACGTTCCGCTACAGGCGAGTATGGCTATAGCATCAGAATTGCTCGAGGTACGAGACTAATTCAATAGGCACAAGAATACAACCTAAAAATTATAAATACAATGTTAAAACTAAAACTCAAAAACCGTTGGACATGGATCTCTCTCTAAACAGAAGCACAAAAAATGAAATTGACTATATTATGACCTCGAAACGTCACATGACCTCTAACTATGAAGTACTAACATCTTTCTCTTTCGGTTCGGACCACAGACTTACAAGAGGAATAATACACCTAAAATCAAGAAAGAAAAGTAGACGATTTTTTTCTAATACGTCCAATAAGCTGAAAATTATAGCGGAGCCGGAAATGTACCTTACAAACCTTAACAACTTTATACCAGAACTTACAAAGAACCAAAATATCTACACTGTGGAGGAGTACTACCAACAAATCATTCACTTTATCAAGATAAGCCTTAAAAACATTAAAGGAACACAAAAGAACAAAATCCTATCGGTGAAAGCGCTAGAACTCATGAAAGAAGTGAACTACAAAATAAGCCTAAATTAAACAAAACTCATAAAGAAAAACTAAAAACTGTAGATACACTTACTAACAAAGAAATAAAAAGATGATACGATACCTACAGAACAACAATTATACAAAGACACCTCGATAATTCTAGATCTGCTAAAAAGCTTATAAAGAACTAAATCAAGCCAAATCATAGGTTCCTCTTCTTCAGTCTGACAATAGAAAATACAAGTCTCGCACAGAAATCATAAATGCTGCTACTGATTTTTACGCTAATCTAATTATGTACGGCAAACCAGCCACACCATAACCCTCATGCCTTGTTTTCACAAACTATTTGCTTTCTGTTTACTTAAAAAAATGTATGAGAATGATTAAATTTATTAATTATTATTTATTTATATATAAAAATTTCAAGGTTGTCAGTTATTTTATTTTTGTGGGTTGTATTATAACGTGTTTTCCTGTGGGAATGAGATAGCCGTCCCTCTATCTCCACACAAAAAATCACGTCAATCCGTCACTCTGTTTCGACAAACAAATAAAAACTTTCACATTTATAATATTAAAAAATACGACTATGGATATACATACATATAAGTATAGATTGATAAACAAGAGATCAATCGTAAAGCTTGTAGTTGTTGCTAGTTGCATTGTCGGACATGGTGATTGTTTAGTTACAAGAACAAATGTTCGAAAATCGAAATATTAATAAAAGTTTTAAAGCAGTATAAAAACATATTGTTCTTTTATAAAAATTAAAAACATCGTGAAACCATCAGCCAGTTATATAAACGGATCGAATAAAGTTCTTTTAAATGAATACTTACTTAATTCTTCTGAGTCATCAGACAGCACTGAGGACTTATCCTCGATTTTCTGAAACAAAAATCGTGTTGTGATTATAAATCCCGCATTTTATATACATACACGACTCTTATCCCCGTATAAATAGAACTGTGAAATTGAATTGAAAATTATAGGTAAATATTGACAATATAAGACTTATCGTTCATATATTACCAATAAGCTTAGATGAAAATATAAATAAATTGAAATGAGACAAAAATAGAGTACCTACAATAAGAAATAACAAGCCGTTTCAATTTCCAGAATGAAAATAAATATATATCAGCACGCATTTATGAGGATTTGGCCTATAAAACTAAATTTACTCAAGTTAAAAATAAATGTTCGCTACTTTTAGAATGATGTGACACTGGCCGGTTAGCCAACGCGAAATATTGGTATGCTTTGGACTTCAAAATAGTGTTGAGTTAAAATTAAATGCTGCCCATGTTATTATTTGATATACTACACAAATAATTAGTCTTTGAAACTTACCTACTAATTTTATTCTATACAATTATCAAAACTAGTGTTCACCCATTGATCGAAATTTTACCATTATCATTTTTTTATTGATAAAACAAAAGGTCGTTAATTGCTAATAAACGAAAAAGAGCAGAGAAAAAGGTACTGAACTATCTTGCTATCCCAAGTTCAATGCGGTTATTTGTACAATAGCACACACTACTAATAAAAATGTCAAACATTCACGTAAATCTAAGAAAGTATAATGTTGTACATCTTAACCGCACCTAATCTCAGGAACGGCTAAATAGATTTGAATGAAAGTATTAGGTGAGAGTGACAATGTAAACTTCTTTTCTTCTAGGAAAAAAAGGCGGGGTCTCATCAGGATTGATAGGATCGCGAAGTGAACGAGACGGAGATAAGTAAGTTAAGCTAAGTAAATCGTATATGTGAGTATAAAATTATAAAAAAGAAAAGAGATAAAAGTTATCTGCTTTTTTTACTCGATTAAAAGCAGTATAAAGTCAATTCAAGATTGTTTATTATGTCTCTCGGGATAACGAGAGTCTGTCAAGTTTATATGATTATTTCGTAGCTTCGTAGGTAGTGCTGATATTTTACTTAATATATCACTGTAACACTAGTCGTATTTAATGTATGTGACTTTAGAAAAGAAAGTAAGCAAAATCAAATCAAAAGAAGATGGTGTTTATATGTAGAACATAGGATATGGATTTGGATTTTTCACGCTTAATCCGTTGAACCAATTTAGATAAAATTTGTTATGTAAATATTTTGAGACACTGGGTAATGACATAGGATAGTTTTCATCCCGGAAAACATATCATATTGTATATAAAGGGGGTGAAAAAAGGGATGGCGGATTGAATGGAAAATCAATAATTTCTCAAATAAGTTTCTATACCTATGTATGTACATATATATATATATATATATATAATATATATATATATGTATATAGTTTATTTATTTAGGTGTCTTTTCGGAAAAAAACGCTATTTTTATATCTATTCCGACAAAGCTTATTGCTTATATAACCCAGGTACTAATAAATAACTATCTCCTCGGTATGCTTATAGAAACATATACATCATTAAATACTCTAACTAAATAGAATTGCATGTTTTACAGAACTGAAGAATTTTCTTTACAGCACTACCATTTAATTAAATGAATAAATATAAACGGCTTTGCCAAGGTAGATCGATTTGCCTCAATTTTCAATCTATTGGTCGCATTCGATTTCAAAGCTTATATTCCCCTTATTACATTCACCTAACCGAGTCTTGCTGATAGTCACGTTTATGTGTTAATGGTTCACGTACATCGACTTCTTTGTAGTACTGCTCTATTAGGAAAAATAAAACAAATACGCCATCCATGACCTTTCTAGGATATTTTTTGGGTTATTAAGAATACCTATAGAAAATGATCTATTAGAAAGGAGAAAATAATACAAATTGGGCTTTCAAATTAGGGTTTATCTAGATCTAAGTGAATCTTACTGAAGACCTTGTGCTCTTGTAGATTTAATTATACCTACTTTTTAATAATACACCGTGTTTGTTACTTGTCATTGTATATTTACATTTTGTATTTTCTTCGCACTGCAAATGATTTTCTTTATTACTTCCTTTTTAATCAACTACAAAAAGAGGAGGTTCTCAATTCGATTGGTATTTTTTATGTATGTACGCCGAATGCGCTGAGATTTATGATCCGATTTACGTGATTCTTTTTTAGTTTGATGCGGAATAGCTGCCATTTGGTTCCATAAAAATTTAACATAGTTTGGCCCACTAGTTTTCATTTTATGAACATTTTTGTTTACGTGGATGTTGTAATATTATTTTAGTTTATGTACGGCTTTTTTAAGAGTTTTCATATATGTTGATTATATATTATTATTATTAACCCGTGTCCCGATAAGTGGGTATTAATTAGGCTACCTGTCATTGAAGCAGAGCGAGCGTGCGGAGTAAAGAAACAGAAATATTATAACCAATCGTTACATTATTATCTACTGTAGTTTACAGAACAACCTATTACAGACAATAAAAACAAACCTAATACCTTTAATATTAATAAAATACTATTATTTGTATTTGCTACCTATTGATAGGTTTAAAGTCGATGCCTTTAGTATAGATTTCTCAGATCGCGGAGAGTGTAGGTACTTACTACATATTACAATTTGGCTTGGCACCGACTTCAAACCTATAGACCCATGAACGTATTTTATGAACGGCCCCTTAAAGCTGAAGCCTTTGACTGAAGTCTATAACATAAATTTTATCTTCAATTACAATTTTTAAAAGTAAACGGTATACTTTTATTACTTTGTTAAAATTCTAGTTTTAAAGACTGAAATAACTAAAGTCTATTGATTTTATGTAAAGAAACTAGAATTTTATTCCGTCTCTAAATACATAATTAATAGCTTTACTATTTCGATGGTGTCCTTAGATGTAACATTGGGACATGAAACTTTAGTGGAACTTATGTACATACTCAACTCTCTCAGATAAACTCACTTCCGCTGTTTTAGTAGTCAGGAAAGTTTGTCAACGAACTGATGTTCGTTTGTTTTGTTCGTTGTTGTTTGTGACAAACTGACTAGAAAATAACAATGTCAGTCGTCTACAATCTTAGAGCCTGAGATTTTCTACGAAAGGTGGCGGGGTTGCTTGGCAATTACTTAGTTATGAAGACACGCGGTAGCGTGTTCAGCCAAGTTCAAGCCAAAGGAACTTGCGACGCAGCACGGTGTGTATATTTACACGAACCATTTGGAGCCACTTTTCACCTCGTAATAACTCAAAATCTATTTATCATAAACTCATGAAATTTGGTCCATTTATTAAATCGCCTTAGATTAAATAGAATCCCTAATTTCATAAATACAGCTCAAACGGTTATTGAGATATTAAGGTCTAAAAATCGGCATTTTTATCACTGACTGACATATAGTAGTAAAATCTATCCCACTTCGTTAGAAAGTCGTTAGAAGTTCGTCGGTAGAAAGTTGAAATTTAGTGTCCAGATGGGTAATTGTGTGTAAAGGGGAAAATCCGAAAACAGTAAATTTTTAAAATTTGAGAAAAAAATTATTGACACGTTGCGCCTTCCAAAACATAATAGCAATAGCTTAACACCTAGTGCCTTTTGAAATGTAATAGCAATAGCAATCATATTTTCCCATTCCGCCTTAACGAATAGTCGCAAAATTATGAAGAAAAGAATGAATTTACATGTCACTTTAGAATTATAAATAATAATAGTTTCTTTACAAAAAGTCATGATATCCCATCAAAAACATAAATGTGAAAAAGGGATCCAAGATAAATTGAAGTTCAAGATTTGTGTTGGCTAGTTTTTACATAAAAAATATCTTATATTCGGCTAATCATTTATATCTTCTTTGTGCTATACGCAAGTTATTGTTCTTATATTGTAAGGTCAACATGTCTCACTCTTCTAAAAACTTGCTTTACTAGTAAAAACTAGCCAAATCTTGAACTTCAATTTATCCTAAGTTATCCACTCTGTGTAAATAATTCGACTGTTCAAATTTAAGAAGTTCTATTTTTAAATAGCAAACACTTTTTTAGCAGAAAAAAACAAGAAATTGTGTTTTAAATTTATTTTAGAATGTTGTATATTATGAAAAAAATACAGGATTATCTACAGAACTTGGCACCCATTTAGATCTCAATTCTTTTGTCAGTGAAGTTGACAGCCACGCTTATTCTTTATATTGAACTTGGCTCCCATTATCACATTTATGTTTTTGATGGGATTAATAATAAGTAAAAATATTAATTGTTGTTTGAAAACTAGTATCTGATATGTTGTAGATACTAATAGAAGCTTGTAACCTCGCTTAAGATAATTCTTACTTGCTTGCGCGAAAAAAAGTGAATGGGAGTTTTAGAAGTTTTAAGTATAACTACGTACCTTTAATAAAATTCTACAAGCACTTTTAACTTAAAATATGAGAAGTTTATGAGAAGACCTCATCGATCAATCACCATTTTTTGCCAATTGGGGCCTCTAAAAATAAACTAACGTGTACGTTTTTTGAACTTGGTGCTTGTTATTTGGTCCGGTGCGGTGTTCTGATTTCAATTCAAAGTCTCTAATATCATCACTTATTGCTTCTTCCGTAATGGTTGCTTTACCTATTACAAACTTGAAAAATGAGGAACTTCTATATAATCTTTCCTAACCTTCAGGGGATTGATGATTGATTGACCTTCGTTACGTAAAGAGCTCTTAAGAAAAAAAATATGATTCTAGAGTCTAGACCCAGCGGTGCGTTATCTATCAACGAATCAGTGAATGAAAAGATTTTTATATAAAATTCATTTTTTTTTAAATTAATTGTTAAAATATGTGTAAATTAAATTAACTTTATAACAGCCCAGACGAGCATGCTATCACTTACCTAGCGACGGCAAAGAACGCAGTGAAGTGAAGCAGGTCCACCAAATGCTCATGCGCGTTAAAGTCGGAATATTGGGTTATTTTTAATTAATCTC